TTTCTGAAATATTTTGCCAATCTTAGACCAATTCCAACAGACAGATTACTATTCCCCTCTGTCGAATATATCCCGATATCATCCGGTATGGGAATAAAACTTACATTTGATTTATATTATTTTTTTACGCTTGCATGCTAATACCGATCCTTATGAACTTTAACGTCAGAGTGTCCTTACCTCTGCATTTTTTTTTAATTAAGAGCTATGCTGTAAAGTTTTCTTTTAATTCTAGCCTCTGGAATTTTGACATTAGACAAAAAAAATTAAATTGTAAAATAAGTCTTCTTCGGTTGCATTTAGATCTGAGAAAACTTGCTGATTTGTCTGGTTGGGGTAATTGCTCTTCCAGCTGACCAGGGAAAGATCTGGAAAAAAAAATGCGAAGAAAAAAATATCGAACAGTGGGACAAGAGTTGGTCAAATATCTAGACCAATGATTCTTAAACGTTTTCCTTGTTCGTACCCCTTTCAAACCACCAACCAGTTCTCGTACCCCTTTCAAACCCCCAACCAGTTCTCGTACCCCTTTCAAACCACCAACCTGTTTTCGCACCCCTTTCAAACCACCAACCAGTTCTTTCACCAATTTGAAACCACCATTCAGTTCTTGCATCCCCTTCCTGAATTGATGAAAAACTTTACTGAGCTCATGTGTAAATAAAAGAATTGACTATAACTTCAGTTTACATCAATTGTCTTTAGTAGTTTATAAACTAACCCAGCAACAATTAACGCATACTTTCAGATAATTCAAATTCCTTTTTGAAAATATTAACGAGGTGTTAAATATATCTATGTATAAATATTTACACCATCCCAACTCATAAATAATTCTATGGAAGCACAAACACATCTCAACATTATTTGAGCTGTAGTTCCGCTCTTTATCAAAACAAGCTTCACACTACAGTGATTCCAACTTTGCCGCAGTTTTACCAGCAATTTCTACTCGTTTCTTTATACTATTATGATGGTCGCAATTTGTAAAATGTCTACAATGTAAACTTTTATGTCAGATCGTCAAATGCTACACGAGAGTTCCCTTAATAAACCAACCCTAATGAATAGTCGCACACTCTGGGAACCGATATCGCATTTCTAGGGAGTGCCGGCAAACCCTGGATAAAAATCACTGACCTTGAATGAGAACGGAGAAAATTTTGGAGAATTAAAATTACAGTTGCATCCATCATTATTGGATCACTTTGGAAATTTGGAAATCTGAGGTCGAATAGAAAGAATTAAGTCTACAGCAATTACTAAAATCTGAAGGGAGAGTTGGAATATTGTGTTGTTGTCATTTGATTTGCAGCAAAACGAAGCGACCTTATAGGAAAACACAATTGGTAGTGATCGGCATTGGACACGATTCTCAAGTCTAGGCATGTTAAAAACGAACAAGTCACTAATGTGATAAAAGCGGAAGGAGAAAATGGAAATTATGAAGTGGTCTTATGCTGTACAAAGCTGACCTTAGAAAATATGATAATTATTGCAATGAAGAAAATGTTGAAGGTTTCTTTATAATTCCAAGAACTTTAAAAACTGCAAGAAAAGGATTTCCTTGATCAAAACGGGAATAAAAGTACGATACTTGTCAGGCGGCACATTTTCTCTATTAAAGCTTTCGATCTTTAGGCCGGTAGACATTAATTGTGGAATTTAAAAATCAGGGATATCTACTCAAGAAAGTGTACCAGCTAAATATGAAGTTTACAGTAACAAGAAGCAAAAATGTTTCAGCACCATTTACATATTATATATACATACATACATACATACATATATATATATATATATATATATATATATATATATATATATATATATTTACATATTGTATATATATATATTTTAAATATATATATATTTACATATTGTATATATATATATACATATATATATATATTTAAATATATATTTACATATTGCATATATATATATATATATGTATATATATAAAAGCGTATATAAGAATTAGGATTAAATATAGATAAAAATGGATTGGAATAAGGATATGGTAGGATTAGGATAAAATATGAAATATTTATAATCATATAAAAACGCCTCCTATTTATTCCATCTCCTATAGCACACACACACACAAACATACATATATAAACACACACACACACACACACACACACACACACACACACACACACACACACATATATATATATATATATATATATATATATATATATAGAATAAATGGTGCTGAAAACTTCTTTGTCCAAACCCTCTTTTATCGGTTGATAATAATTATGTCGAAAACGATTTTTTTTGGCATTTGCAGGATTACGCAGGCTGTTGACCTTTTTAGGGTTCAAAGTTGAAGAAAATATTGGGTGTATAACGCCCATCGTCTTTCTATTTGAATTTAGACATGTTTTTTTTTTATTTGAATGAATAAAATGACAATGTGAATTGTAACGCTTCAGAACTGTGCCTAATATTACGGGAATGAATAGATTAATCAAATGGGCGGAAATTACATGTACACAGTCACCAGCATATATATATATATGTATGTATAAAGGGAAGAGGTTATAGTATGGTTTATAGAGAAAAGTGTGTATAATAAAAAGAAGAGAGAAACCGCAAACGTTTTTGGTTGTAATGTAGATTTTTTTGTACCTATACATATGTACACACACGCGCGCATACACATAGATAGATAGATAGATAGATAGATAGATAGATAGATAGATAGATAGATAGATAGATTCTTAGCCAAGTCTGGTACAAGACTATAACTGCAGGAAACTTCATGTAACTCTATTATTGAATAATCTAATGGTATTAATCGTCCAATGTAAAACTGTTATTGAGTTTAGTTTCGTCTGGGGATAATCTTATAAATGTACAGCAACTCTAGGTTTTCAGCTAAGTTAACTTTATCTTTCTGAAATGAGGTAACACTTTACTTTTGAAATATTCTTAAAAATTATTTAATTACCATTCACTTAACGTCGCCTGAAGAGGTACAACATAGTGCCAAAGCTATTGTGTAGCGATGTTTTTGTTGTAATATCTTATAATAGAATAATAATAATATATTGGTCTACTTTGTATTGAGCACTTTTTAAAAAATAAATGCAACGAACAACGGTATTTTACCTGATCTGTTCTTACTCTCATTTGTATATATATATATGTGTATATATATGTGTGTGTGTGTGTGTGTGTATATATATATATATATATATATATATATATATATATATATATATATATATATATATATATAAATATGCAAAGACAAAGGAAAGCTTATCTTAGCCGACGCGTTTAGTCCTTTGTGGGACTTTATCATTGCAAACGCAAGGATTTTATTTTGCAACAAATATGTATATACAAGGGCAAAAATGTTATTGGTTTTTAAAAATGTTTGAATTTAGGGACGCTAGTAAATATTCAGCAGCTTAACTGAAATGTCAGCCAAGCTATGATAGACACGAAGTGATACAATTCAATGTTTAATAAACAAAAGAGAGTAAGTGATGTGTTAGACATGTTTTTTGTGCAAATTAGTATTTAAATTAATTTACTTTGAGATTAATTTATGTTATGTATTTTGAATAACATGAAGTCATGGATTTTACTGTTTTATTTTAGTTCTTAACATTTTTGTAGTCATGTATCTTGACTTGGGAAAGTAGTAATTTATATTTCGATAAGTTTCGATATTCGGCTATTAGACAAATTATGGACAATTGTCGAAGAAGCCACAGGAGTTTTACAAAGTTACCGTCTAGCGAACGTCTGGCAGTCATCCAATCTAAATAATGGTAATCTACACTTTCCAGGATGTTCTGAAGTAGGCCCCTAAAAAACAAGAGTTCCTACCTCAGCAACTATATCATGTGAGTCAAAATTCAAGGAAATCCTGGTTAAGGGATGCGCAAATTTAAAAATTATGTTGATGCTTTAATTGCCAGTAATGGGTACAAAAATAAGAGTCGTAGGAAGAAACTGCTCGAGTAGAAATTCCATCTCACTAATGGAATACGAAGGTGGTTGGCTGTATATGCGTGTTGGCCGTGAAGCTTAGAACTGGTGCAGCTAAGCAATGTGGTTCGTTTGAACATTTTCCGTGGAAATAGCGATAGAACAGCGAGAGGCTTGCGACATTTCGTCTGCAAGAAACGGGTTGTAAAATAAATCGTCGATAAATATTAATATCCTTTTGTATTAGTCGGACTATCTATAAACGAGTTTCAACGATCGTATCAATTTTGGAAGATTCTTTCCTATCTATCTATCTATCTATCTATCTATCTATCTATCTATCTATCTATCTATCTATCTTACATAACCATTATCAATATGATTTATTTATTCCAATATACGTTTCATTTATGCGTCATTTCACGTTTGTACAGCGCATCCAATCAGGAGAAGAGATTGGCTCCACCAAGTAAATCCCCATACCCCATAAATGCAATGAAGGACCTACTATGGTTCCACCATAATCTATTATTAATATATGGGTTAATTTAAATTGTTTGGAAATGTAAATTTTAAAAATTCCGGTCTCATATAGGAGAGGTGCTGAAAAGTTCCTGGTCCGGCAGAACTTGGCAAAATCTGGGCAAATGACCAAAACAAATATTTTTTAAAATACGTTTATGATTGGGCCGGAAATATTTTAGCATTTCATCAGAAAGTTACTGATATAAGACGAGAACTTTTGGATGCGACTCCCAAATCTACCAATGTGCCTTCCCTATTCTATGCATACGAGACATACATACATATATATATATATATATATATATATATATATATATATATATATATATATATATATATATATATATATATGCATTAAAGAAGTTTTCTCTATATAAATTGATATGTTCATAATTAGTTTTATTGAGCAAAACTAAAATTTTCAACCAAGCAAGTCAGCTTTTGTCATTGAAATGAAATGCTGAGATACTTATCACCTGAACACTTGCAAGGTGCAACAAAGCTTTGAGTTTATTTAGAGCAGCATTAATATTAGTATTCATATCCTATATCTTTCGCGTAGATTATTTTTCTACTTTGTATGTATGTATGTATGTACGTATCTATCTATCTGCCTGTCTGAGTCTGTTCATATCTATCTATCTATCTATCTATCTATCTATCTATCTATCTATCTATCAGTATCTTTTGAAAATCCCCCAAATCATCGGAGTCTACCAAGCAGGATACTTATACGGAAATATAAAAATACACAAAATCGGATACACGCTATGTCCAATACTTTTCCTGATCCCAAACCCTACGTCTGAGCTATCAAAATTCCATAATGACATCATTATCACATACCTACCCACCAATTACATTACATCAACTCACGAACTTCTTCAAATTCTAAAAAGTATAGAGCCAATCCAAAGTATTTTAGAGTCACTCGACGTTGAAATTTTATTCCCAAACGTCCCCGTTGCATAAACTATTGACATAATACAAATACTTCTATTCCATCTCTATCCATCAAACGAAATACTCTCAAAATATTATTACATGCATGCACAACCAAAGTCCCCATATATCACCATAATAGCAACATTTACACCGAAACTAATGGTGTTAGTATGGGAAATCCACCTGGTCGGTGCTTCTCCAATGACTACATATTCCACGTAGGGTCCCAGGTCACTAAACCCAAAATATGTGTCCGTTACGTAGACGACATTTTTATTTCCGCGAAAAACACACAAGAAAGAGATAATTTAGAAAAAAAACACATTTGAAAAAAAATCTTTGTTCTTAACTTTAACTACGAACTAAGTCCAAAAAATAAATTCTCGTTCTTAAACATTCTAGGAGAATACAGTAACAACACTTTCACCAACTCGTAATATAAAAACTACTATCAGAAACTCATGCCACCTTGAAGAGTGAATATAAAATATAAAATTTTTCTTAACTACGTCATCGATCACCAGATTAGAGTATTTCTTTCCTAAGTAAATAATAACGATACTGAACATACAGACAAAAACAATAATATAAATATCTTTTACAAAAGTCAACTATAAGCAAGTTGAATCTTCACTTAGAAATATAATAAAGTAATACACTTCTCCAGTCGACCCCAACAAGAAAAAATAAATTATATAGTATAAAAAATTTAACAGTTAACCATATCATGAAAAATAACAACACACCTGTCAAATCAAAACTAAAATGGACCAAAATTATTTGCGAGTTCAAATGCCCCTTAAAGAACTGCGTTCCTGAAGTTTGGTTTAACTCATAAATAATTACATCGGTTAAACTACTACATTTCTATCCAGATGGCTTATGCTACACTTATCCGACCACCGCTCGATTAGAACTCATTTAAACACATATATAAACCTACCAGACTCCATCCAAAACATAGTAGTAGAAAATACAAGCATAATAACCTCATCCACGTGTAAAAAAAAGATTAAAAAGAATGAATAATAATGAAAAAAGAAAAAGCCAACATTCAGTAATATAAACTATGATCATGGCCAAAATGTGCTGACCGTGTTTGGAAAATAAAACATCCCTATTACTCTCTCTCTCTCTCTCTCTCTCTCTCTCTATATATATATATATATATATATATATATATATATATGTATATATATGTGTGTGTGTGTGTGCACGAGCCCAGTGCGTATATCATAAATAAACATGTATACAACTTCCAATCATAAATAATGATTACAGCACACACACAAGCACATACAAATGCACACATACATACATACATACATTATCATCTAAATTCGGCATACAGAAACTAGAATTATGATATACTTACACATTAATTATACACACGAACGCTGCTTGACTAGTCAAATGCCCGTGATGTCTGCGTAACCAAAGAAAATCAAACAACATAAAAATATAAATAAAAATACAAAAAAATTTCCATATCTCATTCTCTTATGAAACTTTAATAAAAACGAAATATATTAGATTTATAAATGTTTTCTATTTGTTCTGTTATATATATATATATATATATATATATATATATATATATATATATATATATATATATATATATATATATATATATATAAAACTAATCTAAAAACACAGTTATTTTTCACTCTGGTGTTCATGATTGGAGCGAATTTTAGCATCTGCAAATCAAACTTTTTTAATAATTTCTGTAAATTTAGAGTGTATATAGATTTTATTTTCCCAATATATTTAATTCCAAATTTAAGGTGCGTCTTATATCCTCAAAATAAAGTATAAAATATCTCGTATATACGTGTCTAAATGTAAATATTACTATACATATATGTTTCTAAACATACATATATATATATGTGTGAATATGTATGTCTTCGTTTGTTAGCTTGCTTGATTGATTTGTTTGTTAAACAGCATATCAAAAACTTATGGGTCATTTAATGCCGAAATTTAATTTTCATGGGCGATTTGAAGTAATAAAAATATGATATGCTGTTTTCACAATAGAATACATGGTAGATGATACTCAACTTTTGTGTATATATATATATATATATATATATATATATATATATATATATATATATGTGTGTGTGTGTGGACATAATTACTAGAGACGATGATATGTGTATTTTATGTTGTAGTTTCGTTGAAGTTATATTTTGAAATACAGTTTGATTCGTTTCAGAAATTGTAGAATATTATATGGATTAATGTCATGAAAGAATTCTTTCACGTTGCTTGTTTAGTTGTATTTTCATCGGATTTGACTGAAGTCGCTGCAAATTGTTAGTATGTGCATATTTCTTGTCATGTCGTACAGATTGGAGGTGACTCTTGTTTTAGAATAGAAGAATGTGTTATCCTGGAGTCACAAGTGTGCAAAAGATGTAGGGTAGAGGGTGCTAGGCCCGGGCATCCATATCGGGAGTGCATCCAATCAAAGAGTGCGATAAAAAAATTTATATTTAATTTGAATAAAGAATTTCTTTCATTTTTCATCTGTTTTTACATATTTAAAATATCCCCCTTTCTCATATTTCTCAATACTAGCCACTATAACCCCACGTCCTTATTGAGTCTTAGGGGCTTACAATCAAGGAGTTGCCCAAGCATTACCAAACCTCTCCACGTCACTTGCGTGGAGTGTCCGATATGAAATCTGGACATTATTCATCTTCCCTTTTTTTAGTGCTTCATGTCATTCTTTATGTGTGTGCGTCTGTGTTATCAGGGTACCTAGGTGTTGACTACAACAAATCAAACAAAAACTAGTCTGGAAGGCACGATCAGAATGGGGTGGGAATTGGGTGCTTGTTGTGTTATTCAGTCGTGTCACACCTGATATGGGATCCAACTCGACACACTTGGAGGAAGTATAGCAAGAGAGAGCAAGAAAAGTGAGAGAGAGAAAGTAAGAGAAAGAGCTGGAAAAGGAAAGAAAGGGTAGGAGAAAGAAAGACTTCTTTCATTCCTTCATAGAATGATGTGTACTTGCTTAAAGCCCCAGTCATGAGCCTTACACTCATCTTGACCTTAAACAAAGAAAAAATTCTTTGGAAACTTCGTGACTTAACACTGAGTAAAAGACGAAATACCTTCTAATTACAGAGTTTGACAGATAATATATATATATTTCTTAATTTATTGTTAGAAGATTATATAGCCCCAGATTAATTATTTGAGTAGTTATGCCTAATGTGTTTGAGAAAAGAAGACATACATTTTAAATCAGAGGTTAAGTAATAACCTCTACTCAAGATTTTATATGTAATGTCGACAATTTAAGTTTAATATATACATACATATATACAAAGAGATATACATACATTAAAGAATAAAAAGACAAAGAAATCATACCGACATTGTGAATAAAGTTGATATTTATTATATATTAACCTTTTGACAGAATTGTAGCACGAAGAAAAAGATTTTAATGTCGGAATTTTCGAACACGCTTGTGTGATTTTTCAACGATACGAAGAATAAACAAAGATGTGGGACTTACTCTTCTTATTTTGCTGGTTAGAGGCCTGTGGAAATTATACTCTCTGAGTGAACCCAAATCCCTGTTCAATCCCTCAATGTTTGAATTTATTTTGAAAATAAATTTTAAGTTCTATCTGCGTCTTTATTCTCGGCTGTTGAATGAAGAAGCTAAAAGCACGCATCTGATGACATCGATGCTATGAAATGTTTGGTTGAATTGTGTAGCGACAGGTGATTGTTGTTGTTGTCTCTGATGGATTTTTATGGTCATTGAACTGAAGACGGAATTCTGTTCCAGTATCTCCAAAAAAATTTCTTTTTCTGCATATATATAAGATTTGAACTGTCACAATTCAGAGCCAGTGGTACTACGTGATTACTAGGGGGTGTGAAATTGCAATCAGCGATGATATGTTTACCGACTTGGCATCAGGGTTGATTGCAGGTGATATTCACTTGGTGAGGTGGTGAATCATGTATGCCGGGTGATGTTTAGAATGTGTATGGACTGACGGGATGACGTCGAGCATGAAGTGGGTTATCGCTGAATATTTTTCTAATTGTTTGGTTGAGTTTTAAACACAGGAAATTCTTGTTACGATATGGGAAATCTTGTGGATATTGTAATTAAAATAAAATAAAAAAAACCGTGGTAATTCTGGAATTATAATTTTTGGTTTTATAGGTTAGAAGAGTATTTCTATAATGTTTAGGAGCCTTAGAAATTGATATTTTTATATAAAAAATCAATTACTTAATTTTGTTGGTTTTTTAATCTTCAAATTTTATTAACCCGCCTAATAAATCTACATAATATAAAAGTACACCTAGACCACCTTTCATTTTATATATATATATATATATATATATATATATATATATATATATATATATATATATATATATGTGTCTACAAATCTTTAACTTAGTACTCAGAATAATAAAAGAATTTTGCCTGAACAAATATATAATATACATACATACATATATATATATATGTGTGTGCGTGTGTGTATGTGTGTCTAATTGAATAAATTGCAGACAT